AGCAAAACACTGATATTCTATTAGAGTACTAAATCGTTCGCTAAAATATTCATAAGAATACCACAAGGTCACGGCTAAAATTCTTACTTTAATTAAAAAAAATAGGTACATAAAAAATACATCTGCACTTCAATTGCGAACAATCATACTCTTTGACCACATTTGAGCCCAAGCGGGGAGATGGAAAATTTTAATAAAATATGTTTTCCCGCGTAAACTACCATCTCGCACGTCACGTCTCTTGCCGTTCCTTTAAACACCCGCCATGTTGGGGATACAGTGATTCGTCCTTATCGTACACGGAATAAAGTCTAAAATCAATTATCCTGACAGCAAAACGAAATCGTCACATTAAACTATGTCGCGCTATGAGGAAGAGATGTGCCACGATTATGAAATAGATATTAAAGTATTTTCTAGTTGTACTGAGAATAAATTATTTTAAATGTTTGTGTAATTTTCCATATATATATATACATATATATTACTTGTTTACGTGTAATAGAAGTACAGTAACTATGTAACTATGTAACTGGAAACATGATTAATTTTCTCTGTAGATAATCGTTAGTGTAGGATTTCTCGAGACTATATTATGTACTAGGCAAACATAAAGATCCAGATAGTACGTATCAAACGGTACAGCGCGACATTTAATGCATGTAGGTAATTCAATATTACAAACAAGTCTCTGTATATAAATTTTATCATTACTGTATATCTTAAATGATTTGTTGACTGGACCTAGTGGTAGAGTTGTTATATAGGTTACGTAGACTTGAATAGGTATATAGATAAATAAAACTACTTTCAACCGACTTCAAAAAATAGGAGAATCTCAATTCCTTTGTATTTTTTTTAAAGTTTGTTACCTCATAATTTCGTCAGTTGTAAACAGACTTGGATTTGTTTTATTTGAAAAAATAAACTTACAGATTAGAACTAATATCAAACTGTTTATAATTACTCCTCTCCATCCAAAGGTTGCCTGAAAGAGATCGGTTTTAGCGATAAGGTCGCCCATTGTTTTCTCATTGTGATTATTTCTTGTAATTGTTTATATAGATCTAAAATAAGTTTACTATTGTAATCTTTTGGAGGAAACAATAAAGTTAAAAAAAAAAACAATAAAATATATATATATATAATATGTAATTTTTCCTTTATATATTATATTAACTCTATCTATTGGGAACCAGTTTGATTTCTGAAAATATATATACTTACAGATTAGTCCTTAATTTAGTTTTTAATTTAAAATAATTGGTTTTACCACAAGTAAATTCAGATTTTTTTTTAAACAATCTTAATAATTTTGGATATTTTGTCTATTTATATCAGCATCACGCTACAACTGCTGCTCAATTTGGATGCGATTTTCACGGTTGTTCTAACATAAAATCTGATATATGTACATTATATGAATATGCCATCTAGAAGGCCCCACAGTTCCAAGGCACGTCTCTTAACATCTTTAAAAGCATTGGGATCCTTGGTGTCGACATCTCTAGTGACGTACAGTTCCGTGGCCACCTCGACGATAAGGTGAAGCTGGCATCCAAAAAACTCGGTGTGCTCAATAGAGCGAAGCATTACTTCACGCCGGATCAGCGATTAATGCTTTACAAATCGCAAATCCGGCCCCATATGGAGTATTGCTGTCACTTATGGGCGGGAGCACCTAAATACCAGCTTGAACCCTTCGACTCAGTGCAACGACGAGCTATGAGAATTGTCGATGATCCCATGCTTGCAAGCGGTATTGAACCCTTAAGTCTTAGGAGAGATTTTGCCTCAATCTGCGTGTTCTACCGCTTATACAACGGATTGTGCTCAGAGGAATTATTCAATATGATGCCTACGGCCACTTTCTATTATCGTACGGCTCGCCATCGACAGGGAGTTCACCCTCATACCTTACAGCCTAAATGGTCGCGTACAACACGGTTTCAGAGATGCTTTCTCCCACGAACACTCAGGTTATGGAATGAGCTCCCTGCCGAGGTTTTCCCGAGAGACTACAGCATGGGGTTCTTCAAAAGGGGGGTAAAGAGGTTTCTTCAAGGTCGGCAACGCGCGCGTAATACCTCTGGTATTGCAGGCGTTCATAGGCTACGGTAACCGCTTACCATCAGGTGGGCCGTATGCTTGTTTGCCACCTCAGTAGTATAAAAAAAAAGTATTATTTTTTATTAGTTCCTTCTAGTTCCACCACCAGTAATGAAGGGGTACTACTTAGGGTTAAATAAAAGAGACAAATTATAAGAACTGTTAGGATCAGAAAGGAAAACATGTTAGAACACTTGATACGACACGATGAACTTATGAACATTATAATAGAAGGTAAGATAGAAAGAAGGAGGGAAGAGGGAGACCAAGGCATAGTTACAAGGCAGATCAAGGAAAGAGTTGGTGTCGTGTCGTATCAAGAGGGGAAGAGACTCGCTGAAAATCGTAGTGAGTAGCAAGAGCTCCACCGACAAGAGTACAGCTCTTAAATAGAATAGATAGATAGTCACAAACCCCATTCACAAACCCCATTCACAAACCCCATTCACAAACAAGAATATGCAGACAAAAGCTTGTTCAAAATAAATTAAATAACAACCTTGACCCACAAAGTATAGAATCCATATCATAAATATTAGAATTCTCATTGGACCTTCTGTGACTACGTAGTTTCAGACAAAGACACGTTATCCGAGTCCTTGGCCTTCGGATCCTGTGCAAGGTCTTCAGGACCTTCCCGTTGATGTTACAACTTTATTAAACAAGATAGTAATGTTTCGTTAGTCTAAAGAGCATAATTTAAAGACAATATCTTCGGAAAATTCAAATACTGGCTTTGTTTAGAAGAATATTTTTAAAAATACATTATGAATTTTTTGTTCTTTGATTTTTTGAAATTCCTTTGGTCTCCTCTTATGACACTTACGAGAAGTGGAAATATACTATCAATATACTCTATCAGGTCGACCTCCACGCAGTTCCCCCTAGAAACTATCCTGACTAATTTATCGGCATGATGGATCAACTTACCTGCTTTCGTCCTCACCAATCATTCCTCACTGGTGCCCCGCTAGTGTATACCGCTAGAGCAGGCGGGGTTACCAGTCCATTATCATATTAAAAAAGACACCCACGGTATATATGGTGCATGTAAAAAAGAAATTTGAAATCAATTAATAACTAACGGAGTTATAATAAAAATAAGTTAGTAAATATAAAAAAAATAACCGCATTGAGGAGCACCACTCTTTTATTCCCGTCGCCAATCTTTCTAAAATATTATATATATATTATAGAAAGATTAGAGGGGGGAATATTTCTTAAAGAGATTGCCGTGTGATCCCGGCATAGAATAGGCCATCCTTTCCTTTCCCATGAGTGTCGTAAGAGCCGACTAAGGAAACTTAATGGTCGAGGGATTAACAGCAGTGTCTTTCTTAAAACGTTGACAAAGGCTGACTGTCGTTGCCAACGTACCTGCCAAGCGTATCAACTACTAACAGAACTCCCCTTCTGGGGGAGGCTTATGTTCAACATTGGACAGTTAAGCTGGCTGATATAATATTAATTAATATAAGCAGTTCATTTCACCATCTGATTTTCACCATCGCCATTAACTAAAATTTCATCCCAACCATCTGGACCAGTGGCGGTCCTCTACCGTGCGTTTTACAAGGCACTTTCTCCCACGCACAACCACTCTTTGGAATCAACTTCCAACGGCAGTATTTCCGAACCGATACGACAACATAACCTTCAAGGAAAGAGCATATTCCTTTTTAAAATGCCGGCAGCACACCTGCAATGCCGTAGGTGTTGTGGGTGACCATGGGCGGCGGTAGTCACTTACCATCAGGTGAGCCGCATGCTCGTTTGCCCCCTGTGTTGTATAATTTTTTTTTTCTTTTATTACAGAATTTTTATATTACTAAGTTCATAAAATTCCCGTTTTATCTATTTTTCTAAGAATATCAATAAAAAATTGTCTTTAAAATTCAATCGTCAAGTTTTAAATTACACTTACAGTATACTCTGTTATGTCCATGGTACTGCTCATGTCTATAGGCGACGGTTACCACTTTACATCAAGTGGGCCATCAGCTTGTTTGCCATTCTAAGTTGTATAAAAAAAAAAACTTTAAGAGGTTTTTTTTTTTCATTTTTTGTTGTGTTACACGAAGCAATAACGATCCTTAATTAAATTTGTCGTGTAAACCGGAGGGCGGTGTGATAGCCGACGGTACACCGGGCCCCGAGTGAGTATGCAATATTTGCTGCACTTTATCAAGAGAGATGATGCATTGCCCTGTTAAAATACTCCAGTCAGGGCACGTATAAAATATTTTTTTTTATTGTATCCCTCACAGTCCCTAGAGTGCCCGGGGTTAGTTTGGGTGAATTTAGTGGTGCGTAACACAGTTGCCGCTCAGAGGCATATCGTTTTAACTAGCTTTTACTCGCAACTTCCTCCGCATTATCGAAATATTTCTTTTATACAACTTAAACAACTCAGTGTTTTTCTCTTTTAAGGGCAAAGCAATAAACTGAGTTATGACCATTTTGTGTTACTATGCACACGCATGAAGGAAAGAAAGGAAATTATTATTTATATATATATATATATATATATATATATATATATATATATATATATATATATATATATATATATATATATATATATATATATATTGTTTTGTTGCTTTTTTATTTTTAATCTTTTATCTCTCTTACTGTTTATTATATGTATGGAAAATAAGTTGACGGCCCATCTTGTGAAAAGTAGTAATCGTCGCCTAAAGATATGAGGGGAAGGGATTATTAGTAATAGGGTCTAACAACTATTTAACTACATTGCTAGCAATATATCTTATCAGGTCGACCTCCACGCGGTTCCCCCTGAAAATTGTCATGGTTAAATTATTGAGGAATTCATCACTATGGGCTAACTGACCTTTTTTTTTTTTTTTTTTTTTTTTTTTTTTTTTTTTTTTTTTTTTTTTTTTTCCGTGTGGAAAATCTTCGGAAAGACCGTCCCATCTGCCGAAGGGAGGGCAGCTGGGGTGTGTGGGATTCGTACCCACTAAAAACCACACGACGTACCTCGAGGCGCTTATGTTGGATCCCGGGTTCCCGTTTGTACGACTACCGAGTATCCAACGCGACGGCCCGCCCTGTAGGTGGTGTAGGGCAGGCCTCCTCTCTTAGTTAGGGTGGGGAATGTCCCTCCCACCCTACCATCACAGGAGGGCACGGATACGTGCGCGCACCTCCTAGGGTCATATGAAGGGTGTGCCTCCCTCAAGGCAACACCCCGACCCTAATGGGGGGGAAGGAAGAGGCAGAGTTGGGCGCGCCCCTTCTCCTTCGTCTGGCTCGGCGGCGGCGCATGACGGGAGCGGTGGGGGCACTCTCCCGCTCCCGCTCGGCCGCCTCCTTCTGCGACATTACCGCTTCACAGAAGGTGAGTATTACATTCCACGACCTCTCGCTACTGACCATCCTCCGAACTATATTCGGCAGCGAGAGGTCACCCCCCACTTCCGCAACCAGGACGCGGCGCTCTGCACTGAACGCTGGGCATTCTTCTAGAACATGTTGTGCCGTGTCCCGGTCGCAACCACACTCATGGCACTCAGTTGTCGGCTCTCTTCTCGCAATCTGACACAGGTACTGACCGAAACAACCGTGACCGGTCAGTATCTGTGTCAGCCGAAAGGTCAGTGGACCTTTGCGCCGCCCGCTCAACCAGTGTTTCAGCACTGGGCGGACAGCCTCGACGGTCCTCAGGCCGGCCCCTGGGTCGGCCAGCCTCTCATCCCACTTCTCCAGAAGGATCCGCCGAGCGCAGGACTTCCGTAAACTCATTTCCCTCTCGGTGGGGCACTCGCCCCGGGAACGTCGCTCCGCGCGCCATTTGTAGATCGACGCGCGAGCTTCTGCCTCTAGATGGGCTAACTGACCTGCTTTCAAACTCACCTATCGTCTCTTATTAATACCTTACCAGCATATAGCAATAGTACAGGTGACTTTTAAGGTTTCTCGGACTTTTTTTTTCTTCTAAACGGCCCCTATATTATAACAAATAAAACAAAAAAGAAATGTTCAAATCGGTCAAGCCGTGTTTGAGTTTTAGCGAGACAAACGTACAGCAATTTTTTTTATGCAACTTAGAATGCCAACAAGCTAACAGCCCAACTGATGGAAAGTGACAACCGTCGCCTATAGACATGAGCAGTACCATGGACATAACAGAGTATAATGTTTCGCCCATGATGCCCTCATGCGTTGCCATTCCTGAGGACTCAGTTGTTATTCTTCTGTAGCCTGTAAATTCATTGTCATATCCCATCCTTCAAACCGAAACACAATTACTGCATGGTAGAAACATTTATGGACAGAGGTACCCAAGCAAATGACTTTTATGCAGTCTCCCGCTGGTAGCAATTGATTTTTAAATGTACCTACAGATATAATTTTTTTTTAATGACTGAAAATGGAATGGTAACCCCGCCTGCACTATCGGCATATGCTGGCGGGGCACCAGTGAGAGGTGATAGATGAGGATAAAAGCAGGCCAGTTAGCCCATCGTGAAGAATTCCGTGAGAATTAACCACGATGGTTTCCAGGGGGAACCGCGTGGAGGTCGGCCTGATAGGGCACATTGCCAGCAACGGAACCGTTAGATCCCACCACCAACAATCCCTTTCCCCCCACAGATATAATATTATAAAATAGAAGATTAAAAGGCTACCTCTTTGGCATGACTATGGAACGAGTAGTTTAAACTCTAGATCATATAGAAAGTCTACTTAAGTGTTACTTACAGCAACTAAAACTTATAACAAAGTTCTGAAATTCAGTTGGGCAAACTAGTTGAGGCACGAACTTTTCAACCAACTCCTAAAAGAAAGAGTTTCCAATTATTTTGTATATTTTTGTCTGTTACCCGAGTTATGAGGTTAGTTGTAAATCGATTTGGATAATTCCTTTTTTTTACTGAAAGGGTATTTTTTTTATACAACTTAGAATGGCAAACAAGCTGACGGCCCACCTGATGGAAAGTGGTAATGGTCGCCTATAGATATGAGCAGTACCATGGACATAACAGAGTATACTGTTTCGCCCATGATACACCCCATGCGTTGCCATTCCTGAGGACTCGGGTGTTATTCCTCTGTACCCAGTAAATTCACGCCATATCCCACCCTTCAAGCCGAAACACAGCCATGCAAACACAACCAGGGTTTAATTTTTAAATCAAATTAACAAGCTCTAGCCACGACAAATTTATAAGCTAAGTCAGTGAAAACCTGTTATTGTCTTTTTATATGGATAAGTTGTTATAATTATAAATTGTAAGCTGTTGGTTTTCCAATAAATAAATAAACTAACTGGCTTTCCCATATTTTTTTTTTTTTGTAAAATACAGTTTTAGTTATTGCAATTGACAATGCGTATTCAAGTTGTTTTATGCCTACAATAGTTCGTTACATGGTCTTTTTGAGGTTTTATAATTTAGGGTACGACGAGGGATGGGCAGCAGCGTCCCTCTTAAAACATCTCAAAAGCCTGATTGCGGTTGCCAATCTGCCTGACTGCGGTTGCCAATCTGCCTGCCCAACGCAGTAGCCCAATTACTGGCAAAACCCCCCCAAGGGAGAGCTTATGTTCGCAGTAGGCAGTTAAGAGCTGATATGATGATGAAGATGGATTTTGGATAATTATTAGGTTCATTAAAGCCGATTCCAACTCTAAGACCAGTGCTGGAAAAACTTTATATATATATATATATATATATATATATATATATAAAACACTCTTTGGAATCAACTTTCAGCAGCAGTATTTCCGTACCGATTATGACATCGTAACCTACAAGAAAAGAGCATATTCCTTTTTAAAAGGCTGGCAGTACACCTGCAATGCCGTTGGTGTTGTGGGTGATCATGGGTGGCGGTAGTCACTTACCATCAGGTGAGCCGCATGCTCGTTTGCCCCCTGTGTTGTAAAAAAACTATGGTTTCCGGAGGGAACCGCATGGAGGTCGACCTGATAGGGTGTATTGCTAGCAATGGCTCAGTTAGACCCCATTACTAACAACTCCTTTCCCTCCTTCCAAATTGGTTCATAAATAACAGTGTTATAGAGTAACAAACATGAAAAAAAAATACAATTGAATTGAGAAGAACCTCATCTTTTTTTGAAGTCGGTAAACAGAAAATATTTACTAGTATTTTCCTATAACATGTGGGATTACGCAGCAGTACAATACATAATTTTGGTAATCCTTACCGCGACGTAATGTAATCCCCAAATTCCATTATAACTCCTCCTACCAACAGAACTACAGACGTGACACTATCAAATAACAAACTGATAGCATTGTTTTGAGTGGACGAGTTAGGAAACTTGTCGTCATCTTAATATATTATATATAAACATCTCGTGTCTTGGTGTCTGTTGGTTTTTTTAATGGATGATTTTTTTTATACAACTTAGGATGGCAAACAAGCTGACGGTCCACCTGATGGAAAGTGGTAACCGTCGCCTATAGACATGTGCAGTACCATGGACATAATAGAGTATACTGTTTCGCCCATGATATACCCCATGCGTTGCCATTTCTGAGGACTCAGGTGTTATTCCTCTGTACCCAGTAAATTCATTGCCATTTCCCACCCTTCAAACCGAAACACAGTCATGCAAACACAACTGCTTCACGTTTGAAATACGAATGGGACAGAGGTACCCAAGCAATCGACTTCTGTACAAAGTCTCCCTCTGGTAAAATGGTAGATGAAAATAAAAAAGAAATAAAAAAAAAACATTGTATAATAAATAATTACAAATTTCCTGCTGATGCAGTTTGCAAGTTAGCCGTGATGGGCAATTGGCCGCTGGTCTGAGAGATCTGATAGCGAATTCTTTTGATAATTTGATAACCCATCGCACCGTAACTAATTATTTTTATTTCTGCTTATTCCATTTATTTAAAACTAATATTTTCCCGCGACTTCGTATGCACTAAGCATGCATTTTGGTAGTAGAAATATATTTTAATAATAGAATATCAGTATGAAACATTCACAGGGTTTTTATAGTTTAAAATCTAATTTGAATTTGAGTGTTTCAATTTATATAATTTAAAATTGAATTTTACAAAAAAATACATTTAGATTGTGGCAAAATGTTGATTTAAAGTTTAAACTACTAAACCAAATTTGATAAAATTTCTATAGTAATAATCTATAAGTGTATTGTTTCAAATAAAAAAAAAAAATTCCAAATCGGTCTAATCGTTTGTAAACTTTGGCATATGCGAGCGTACACCAATAGTGCAACCGCAAGTGCTCGGGAATCCAAACCCAGTACATTGAACAAAAAAAAGCTGACATAAATAAACATAAAATTTACAACAGTATTGATAGTCGCCTTGTTCTTGAAGTCGGTTAAATAATCGAGTTACATATTTTGATCAAGAAACTAAACTAAACTAAAACTAAACCATTTTTGATAAAATTTCTATGGGACCAATTATTAAGCAAAAAAGGAAAAAGATATAAAAAAGAATAATCCAATTAAAAAATTTCAGATAAAAAAAGCATTTTCCAAATCAGTTTACAACTGACGCAGTTATGAGGTAACAAACATAAAAACAACCGAATTCCTTAACTCTTTTTGAAGTTGAATGAAACAACAAGTAGATTTCCTCAAGTAAAATGTTTAACCTCAACAATAGGGGGGAAAGGGATTGTTAGTAATGGCGACTGAGAATCCCATTGCTAGCAATATACCCAACCAGGTCGACCTGATAACTATTATGGTTAATTCCTAATGAATTCATCATGATGACCTAACTGGCCTGTTTTCATTTTCATCTATCACCCTTCACTGGTGCTCCGCCAACGTATCCCGTTAGCGCAGGCGGGATTACCATACCATTTTCACCCATCAAAAAAAAACCTAAGCAATAAATTTTTTAAAAAGCATGCTTGCAACTTTACAAAGAATTATTTTCATTTCTATTTAAATACACAAAAAACCTTACTGTTTCCGTAATAAACAAATGTGAGTGTGCATTGTATTGTTTAATATATAATAAATATTTATCTTGGACGTATAATTATTATAGAAAATGGTCAAACAATATTTACGAGTATCAATCTATCCATAGACACAGTCTTATTGTTTCGGAGAAATAAAACAGTTGCCAACTTCACATTCTGTTTCTCAATATAAATACATTTTAATATAATTTTACATTTTATATTCTTCAAAAATAAAATAATTGAATTTTATGAATATTAAATTCTCTATTGAATCACATTTCAATGCAGCAATATTTATATCAATATGTTTGGTTTGAGTTTTATTTAATTTAATTTTAAATTCTATATTTAAAATGTAATAAAGTTTTAATAATAAAATTAATTTACAAGCGTGTACAATACTTTGAAAGGATTCCGTTATTAATATTTTGTATTATTTAAAAATTGGAAATACTTTGTTTACAATACTATTGTTCTTGGAAATTTTAAAATGTTATTTCCAATTCAATTTGAACTCACAATCAAATTCAATCGAGTTTGTTAGTTGGTATTAGAAAATATTTGATTATTAATATATATATATATATATAATACATATATATATATATATATATATATATATATATATATATATATATATATATATATATATTTACTTATATATATACAACTTAGAATGAGAAACAAGCTGACAGCCAGATGGAAAGTGGTAACCGTCGCCTATAGACATGAGCAGTACCATGGACATAACAGAGTATACTGTTTCGCCCATGATACCCCCCATGCGTTGTCATTCCTGAGGACTCAGGTGTTATTCCTCTGTACCCTGTAAATTCACGCCATATCCCACCC